CGGGTAGATTCATCCTGGGTTGCTGAGTGAACCTGCTTTTAAGCCCACATCCTTTTGGGGAATAACAGATGAGGAAAAATTAGAATTAACTTGTAAGAACGTGGCTTTAGAGGGCCAGCAGGGATCAGTTGGTTCAGATACTTTTTCAGTAGGAAAACCAAGCAAATCATTTCCTCATGTCTTCTGAAATGATGTGGAAGGGCCGCCACCTTTACATTCCTGTGAATAGAGAGTCTGGTCATAAAAGTAGGGATCTGTTAGCTTGCGAACGAAAGTTTCCATGTTGGTGGTAAGGACTGTCCCATTGAGCCCTTAGACGCCCGGGGTCTTTTCAATCCTGCTCTGCTGGCGGCTCTCTGTCTTTAGAAAACGGTTTTAAACTACAATTTCTTCGAATAATAATAACAATAATAATGAGATGATTTACTCCTTAGAAAATTGCAGGTATGCACGTACTTGCAAAAACGCTCAACGCATTTTAGGGGAGTCACAGAACCCTAAAACTCACCACTCCAAATTCACTCCTGTGGAGTAAATTCCTGTGACCCTCGAGGACAGAGGAGAACTGTCCTTATCGGTTTCTGAGGCTGCAAATCGGCACAGGAGCAGCAGCAAACCTCATCTTTCTCCCACTTGACCTGCAGACCTGTGTGAAGCAGACCAGCGTGCAATCCACTGAGGCCCCAGGGATCCCTCAGAACCTCAAGGCTGCATCTAAATAGAGATCAGAAGACCTGTCAGAGCACAACTCTTATTTTAAAGGTGACAGTCAGTGTTACAGCAAACTGTAAATTTGACACGGAGGTTTCTTGCCCTCCATAAGTGTTTATTGGGCACCAAGGCGCCAGCTGTGAACAAGGCGGTCGGGGGCCTTGGGCCGCACAGCTGGTCTTCTGGGAATGTGGGTTGTTAAGGTGAAACACCATGGTCTCGACCCTCCGTGTTCACTCTAGCAGGTACTCATCAATCTATGCCGCCTTCTCCCTCAGAAACCAAGGAGGGTTTTGATTAATTGACCTGACAGTGGATGGTACACCATATTTACCAAGGAGGAGTTAATGACCCCAGAGACTCCCAGAGGAGACATGAACACTCTTCATGCAGGCAGACCCCAGAAGTCAAGCGCACATTGAAATCCAGCGAGTCACACGAGTGTTTTTGCTTTCCCAGCACATATAAAAGGTTAGGTTTACACTGTACTATCATACTGTCATTGCGCATGCAAAAGCTTTATGGACAAGCTTGAAATACTGTGAGAATGACTGCAAAGACCCCGTCTGTGCAGTGCAGTCAGGTGCACAATAAAACAAGGCGTGTTTGTGTGGTCAGCCTACTGTGCGCATGGTCAGAGAACGTGCAAGTGACAATGGAGGTGTTCCGGAGGCCAGTGCTTTCAGTGCAGTTGAGTTAATCCTCAGCATTCACTCTCGGAAGGTCAGAATCTAGAGCTCACTGCCATCGAGTGGATTCCAACTCATAGCCATCCTAGAGAACAGAGTACAACTTTCCCTTTGGGGTTCCTCAACTTTCACTCTTGGCAGGAAGAGACAGCCCGCTCATGCAGACGCGCTGGTAGGTTCGAACCACTGACCTGGCCTTTAGCAGCCCAGCACAGAGTCCACTACGCCACCATGGTTCCTGTTCAGGACGACAGAAACTGGAAGTCTGGGGGGAAAGGATTTATGGGAATTTGCTGTCTCCTTGGGGGGGAAAGTTCATTTTGTTTCTTGGGGAGCATATTGAAATCAAAGCATATTGATATACACATGAAAGTGACTTTTCCCCCCTGGTTAAGTTGGGGCAGGCAGTACTGTATGTCATTGGGGAGATTTTAAGAGGGCAAAGAAGCAGTGAGCAGGAATATTCTATTTTAATGGTTCTCAAAGGGTAGCCCCTCCCTAGTCGATCACATTGGTTATCAATGAACTGGACACAAGTTGGAAGTTCAGACTCTTGGGCCCCACTTCACAGCTATTGATGGGAAAGAAACCTTGAGCATGGGGGGTGGGGGTGGGGGTGGGGGTGGGGGTGGGGGCTAGCCATCTGTGGTCACCCAGTCCTCCAGAGATTCTGTTCCTTGATCACGATGCACCAACGGTTGTTCGTTTAGCTGCTGGCATTTATGCAGACAGGCGCCCGTAAGTTGATAGTGTGTGTCGGGCTGTTGCCTGCAAGGTCAGCAGTTTGAAATCCCCATCGCGCCTCTGGAGAAAGATGGGGCTTTCTACTCCCACAAAGAGTTCCCGTCGGGGAAACTCACAGGGGCAGTTCTACTCTGTCCCATGGGGTCACTGTGAGTTGGCATCGACTCAGTGGCAGTGAGTTAGGTTGCACTGGGAGTGGTGGAAATCAGTGCAATGTATAGCGTATTTTATTTCAGCAAATGAGCAGTCCTTTAGAATACTCCTAAAACTCAGGAAAGTTTTTTTTTTGGGGGGGGGAGGGGCGGGGAGGTCTTACCAAAATATTCAAAAATAAGGTTTCCAGTAAAGGAGGCCATTTTGTATTAAGATAGATAAGCTAAAAAAAGAAAAAAGAAAATGGATAAGCTAATTGAAGTCTATCATAACCTTTCACGTGTTATCAGGATCTTACTTGTGTGTACAAGTATGTGCTTTCTGGTATAGTCTTTCTCTGTCAGGTAGAAATAATTCACTCGATTCCCCTTAATGTCACAGAGCCTGGATGAGGCTCAAAACACAGGTGTGTTCATATAGGGAAATGCTTCAAATCTTCTCTGCGGGCTATTTTAGATGTGGCTTGTGGGGGCCGCCTTAACGTTTTGCACTGAAGTAGAACAGCGTTTTAAGCTTCTGTAGGACAGATTTGTCTGGGGAGAAGTAGAGGTAGAATACCCTAAGAGGAAGGAGAAGAGACTTCGTCTCGCTTGGACATGTTTTCAGGAGACATCAGTCCCTGGAGAAGGGCATCATGCTTGGTCAAGTGGAGGGGCATTGAGATGCACGAAGACAGCGGCTGCCGCGATAAGCTCCCACAAGAGAACAATTGTGGGAATGGTGTTTCGCTCCATTCTAGAAAGGTCGCTGTAGGTCTGAACCGAGTCTAACAACGATAGGACAGAATCAAGGGTGAACTCAAGACCGAGGAGAACTGGCCTTATTAGAAGCAGTGTGGTTTGACATCTCTTTGGCACCACCTGGAGTTTGCTAGGTCTTATTAGGCTGGGTGGCGGAGTGAGCTTCCTTGGCCTTGGCACATAAGAGCCACGGGTTTTGAGCTTGCCCTCCCCATTTGGTACAGCACACCCTGGCCTTTCCTCTGTAGGGACCCCGCCTTTGGCTGTTCTTCAGCGTGTAATTGCATGAGCTTTAGAGCCAGGCTGCTTTTTCCATCCACTCTGGCTCCTCCTCTCTCCTCTGTAGTGGTCTCCTGCCTGTCGTCTGTGGGCCCACTGCTCACTGCCCCAGTGCATAAGGCCTCCGGGCAGGGCGACACTCCTACTCCAAGCATGGTGTCAGGTGCAGCCTCCCCCTCTGCTGCTGGAGCCCCAACTCACACAAGGAGACTGCTCACCCCACTCCTACCTCCATCAAATCCTGGCCCGGAAGTGGCTAGCTGTTAGTCTCTTATTGCAGGAGGTACTTTCAACAGAGATTCAGACCCTGTCCTTAGGAGAACAGATGCCATATTGTATTGCTCATGCAAATCCTCTTGTTTCTTCCCCGGCTCTCCCCTCATCTCTTTGAGCTACCCACATGTTAAGTTTGGAAGCTCCCTGGTCCAATGCCTATCAACGCAAGCAAGTAGAAGCTTTGGTGGGGAGGGGACAGCAGCAGGCCCACTTTCAGGGCCAGGCGACCTGTGCTCTGAAGGGCGCATTGCTTATTCTCATTCTCTGTGATGCGCTTTGAACACGGGGCTCCGCATTTGCGTTTTTTTCACAGGGCTCCTCCATTTAGGTAGCGTCCTGGGCAGAAGCACTACCCGATCAGCAGGGACCCCCAGACTCTGCGCCTCCCACAGGGGCAGTCAACCCGTCTACTGGCCCATGCTTGCTTCTCCACACTCTTGAGAATTCCATGAACAATACAGAAATGCCGCTGAAAGCATGCCCCACCCTCTGACACTGAGATTGGTCTGTGGCAATGACATTGCACGCCCCACAGTGTCCCAGCACTCTTCCCACGTGTTCGTTTCTCATTTCCATTCCTCCTCGCCTATCCCTCCTGCCTTCTGTGCATCACCCCTGGGCAAATGCTGCCCTTTAGATCACGTATGGTTGTTTGTTCGAAGGTGCATGTAGCTCCCGGGCGTTACTGTTCACCTTGGTAGGCCTGTCTGTTGGATCCATGTGCTTGTTACTGGTTGATACTTGGAAGGAGAGCCCCAGGCTTTTCTTCCTAGTCGGTCTTAGTCTGGTAACTGGATCCTGTTAGGTATCACAGTAACACACAAGCCTCCCATGAGAGCGGCTGGGTTTGAGGTCCCTTGGCCAGAACCAAACTGGTTTTCCTGTCTGGAAGGAGAGTCATACACGTGAGTCTTCATTGCCACCTCCCCCGGGAGCCCTCAGGTGTGTACATGACTAGGAATCCCGCCATCATTTGTTGGTGCTGCCTTCTTAGACACTCGGCTGATTTTGGACCTCGAACAGTTCTTGTGAATCGTTTCCAGGGCAAACGGTGGTGCGAATGTATCAGAGGCCGGGTTACGTGTGTGTCATCCATGGTGTGCACACTGATGGCTGTGAACATGACAGAAGGCCCGTCTGTTCTCGATGAGCTGACGCTTGGCATGCTTGGGGGGCAGAGAAAGGCAGATGCATAGAGCAGTGGCTTCCGCCTGGTGGCAGGGCTTGGGGTCAGGGAAGATACGGACTAATACGTCATATAGGAATATCGTATGGGGGCTTTGCCGCCCCGGGAAAAATGTTGGGCATGTGCTTGCGATCGACTCAGAGTCATTGCAGTTTGTCCCCCTCCCCACCCCCCACTACCTTCTTATTGAAATCTGATTAGAGCTTTCTCTTGTGCTTTCAGCCTCAGCACCCCAGTCAGACGAAGGGTCTGACATCGATTCTGAACCCGACTTACCATTGAAGAGGAAGCAGCGCCGGAGTCGAACCACCTTCACAGCAGAGCAGCTGGAAGAGTTGGAACGGGCTTTTGAGAGGACCCACTACCCTGATATCTACACCAGGGAGGAGCTGGCCCAACGGGCGAAGCTCACTGAGGCCCGAGTGCAGGTACTGCCCGCCACCATCCCACCAGGAACACAGAGTCCCCTAGCCCAAAGCACCAGAGGCCCTGGGAGGTCACAGCAGTGTCTGGCTGCTCACTGAAAGGTTGGCAGCTTTGATGGCCTGCACATGCCCTCCAATGGAACCTGCCTTTTTGAACCCCTTAGTGCGCACAACTCTATTCTGATACCGGTGGCCATAACTGCCAAGTGACTTGATGGCATTTGAACAGCTCAAGAATGTTTGCAAGCAAGAAGAGAAGTATGTGACGAATGGTACCGCATGGGGATGTCTATCTTTTGACGTGGTTTACCATTACCAGGAGAATATGAACATGTTGTATTAAGATACACACGTATAGGTGTGTGTGTCAATTTGTGCTATTTCACCATTGTTTCAGGAATCTATACTCTGGCAGTGCCTGGTCTCTGTGAGGGGTAACAGCAAACACATTTTTGAATGGTCATTCTGTGCCAGACCCCGTTCTAAGTGCCTAATATATCTCGGCCACAGAGTCACCATCAAAACCCTAGGTGGGCATTACTACCACAGTTGTTAGATGAGGACCCGCTGTATGGAAGTAGCTGGCCAAAGCCACATAACTAGTAAGTGATAGAAGTGGTTGGGTCCCATGCACTTTGTGGCCTTTCAGCGATAAAGAGGTACAACAGCGCCAAGGGCGTAATCACACCCTCTAAGGATGGCGTAGGCTAGAAGCATCCCAGGTAACGGCGTTGTTTTCGAACCATCTTGGGTGGGTTTAAGCTCTCAGGTGTGTTCTGAATCTTCTGCAAAAGCCTCCTTTGATATAATAGCTTACCATAAAGGGGACAGCATGTTTGGTAAAGCAGAGGGGAAGCGAAATAGATGAAGCCCTTGGACAAGATGGGTTTGACTTGCTGGCTGCACCAGTGAGCTCAAATGTCAGGACAAGCGCGAGCGGGGCTCAGGATGGGGCAACGTTTCCCTCTGTTGGACCTCGGTGATACGGACACGAGAAAGACAGTGCCGTGGGTGCGGAAAGAAAGGGTTAGTGAGTGGAAGAAGGAATGAAGGGATGAGTCACAGATACCGTCGAGTCCATTCTAACCCATAGCAACCCGACGGACAACAGAGATATTGCCCAGCCCAGTGCCATCTCGAAGTTGCTTTTGTGTTTGAGCCCATTGTCACAGCTGCTGTGTCAATCCATTCTGCAGGCCTTCCTCTTGTTGTTTACACTCTTTTACCACGTATAATGCCCTTTTCCAGAGAGAGCCAAAGAAAAACCAAGGTTTGTAAAGATGCTTTAAAGTTTAATGACTATTGAGTCCCTGACCACCGCATTGAAAGACAGAATTTCTACCCTCTGTACATCAATGGTCACCACTAATTACAAATCATGAATATATGCACAGATAGATATTACTATCACCTGTTATTCTAACACATGGCATGTATGTTATACTATATGAGGGGGGCTTCAAAAAGTTCGTGGAAGAATTCTATTCTTTTAATTCCATTTTACCATGAACATTCTGAAGACCGCGTGTATAGAATAGATGATAGAGTTATAAATATGCATCTAGTCTATCTTGCTTTTACCATCGTCCTATCATTACCTGCTTACACGTGAGATACGAAGCACTCTCCTTCCTTCACGTTTCAAGTAAACCTTCGTTGTGTGACCCCATCGGGATAGCCCAGCATGCGGGCCCTACACTCTGTGGTTGGCCTCTCCCATGTACTGGATCTTTCCTTAAGAAAGACTATCAATCCTAGACCCAATGTGAAGTTAAAAACAAAGCAAAAGAAAAAAATCATTTTTCTAAAAAAAAAAAAAAATCAAATTCTGAGTGCCCAGCATAGCTCTACCTGCTTTTGGTATGGGGCGGAATAAATTTTATAAACGAACGGAAACCACGCAGCATGTCCAGAACGCAGCTTTCTTAGCAGAATTCATTAGCTTCCAGAGGACATGGGACTAATCCAATACAGAGGGGTATCTATACATCTATTATTATTTTTGGTACAGTGACCTCCTTTGCAAAGCAGGGCCCTCATTAATGTAACAGCTGTCTTAATGTGGCTTTAACCTGGTGACTCTTTACATTCCGCATGGTTCTTTAGCTCCCTGGAGACTCATCACGTCCTGCACTCCAGCTATGATCTACAGCCTAACAAATTCCCTCCACCATGTGGACCTCTTAGGGACTCAGCAGGGAAAAGACGAGAGTAGTTAATCACTGATTAAAATGCCAGGGCAAAACCCTTTCGTTTTGAGAAGGACGTGGGAAAACAGTGGCCACGTCCACGCCGTTTGAGTGATCGCCAGAGAGTGTGAGTGAGTTTAATGGAGGGCACCTGGGAAAACTAAACAGCAAACCAAGAAACCCCAAGCCGACACCATTTTTTTCTTTCCACCTAGAGAAAAAATATTTCCAAATACTTCTAAATAGAGATGGTGAGGCAAAAGCTAAAATGATGTGTTTTTCCGCCCCGCCCCACATGAGTTTCACAGTCTAGGACAGTAGCTCTGTTGTGTTTGTCACATTCACATCTCCGTAGGCAGACAAAGGATTGCCATCCACCAGAGATGATTTGGCTAATTTATCTCAGGTGTGTGTTATTAGGCAGATAACTGCCAGCATTCACGTGGTAGCTTTTTGGGGGGATGGGTGGGAAGAAAGCCTTCATGGTGTGCACGGTTTAGTAAATATTCCATATAGGATTGCCCTGAGGGAGGCAAACATCATCCACATTCACCATCAAAACTGTGGAAGACAAGAAAGGACATTGAAGGAGGATCAGATATGTTTTTGTGGGAAAAGGTACTTCATCCTGCTGGGTCTCAATTTTAAAAATGTATATATGTACATATACGGATATATATTTAAGTAAACCAAAGGGCTGGGTGAGAGCTAGTGAATTTTGTCTGGGTCGAGCCACCAGCATAATCTCAGACTAGCTTCAGGAGAGCTGAAACATGGGAGGTGTGTCTATGATATTCTGTGCCTGTGTCTGTGTACACACACACATACTACCCCATGCTTCCCACCTCTGAATGGCAGGGCAGGGATTCTCAGGGCCCGTGAGCATCAGATGTTTGGGATTCTTGGGGAAGCCCAATGGCCATTTAAAGTCACCTCACAGGTTTGTGAAGTAGGGGGACAGTGAAAAGGGGAATACTCTTGACAAGAGAGGTTGACATAGTAGCTGCAACAACGGCTCAAACATAAGAACTTGGGAAGACGGCACAGGCTGGGGGCGGTGTTTCCTTCTGTTGTACAGTAGGCCTTGCCGTGTGTCAGGAACGACTCAATGGCTCCTAATGCTAATAACAGCGGATTTGTATAGTTCAGACGTTCATACAGTATTTGGCCCTGAACTCCAGGAGGACCAAACGTGGTCAACCTGTAGCTCTGGTAGAGTTTGAGTTTGAGATGTGGACAGGTGCAACTGAATAGGCGTGTGTGTGTCCGTTGTCTTCCTGGTTTCTTGTCAGCAAACTGATTCTCCTCACCGACCCTGTCCCTCTCCCCAACCTGTTCTGGACATTCGGAGCGCCAAGGTGAATGACAACAATGACAGGAAGAGTGTATCCTCTTGGGAGTAGGCAGGAGTACCTGCTGGTCTCAAATGCACTTACCAACAGAGCACCGCACTTGCCATTGGAGCATTTGATAGGAGGTAGGCTAGGGTGTGATCACACATTTTTATGCATGTGCTAAGGATCAGGCATTACAATCTCTCCCCATTAAAAAAGTTATGTTTGCAATAATTCATCTGGAATAATGCCGGTGGTTAGATAGCCTTTGAGGACCACACCTTTCCTAGGTATTCTTTTCAGTAATTGGATTGTATTGCTCTATTGCCATAGACAGAATTAGGCTACACGATGGGGCCATTAACACACATGTATAGAATGCACACAGCAGGCATAACAAACTCACCTGCCTGGGGTAGGGGTGGGGGTGGGGGGTTGAAGTTTGCATAAGGCCCAGGTTATTTGTTTACAAATCCGGCAGCCCATGACTGTGGGAAGCCAGTTGACCTGAGCCTTTGTGCAAGCCAGACTGGTTTTCACTTATTTGAGGTGTGATTTGGCACTATCCTCTCTGCTTCTGGGCACAAAAAGAAGCCCTGGTGGCATAGCACATTGATCTGCTAACCTCAAGGGCCACAGTTCAAGTCCACTAGCTGCTCTGAGGGAGGTATATGAGGGCTTGGGGTCTTGTAAAGACTTACAGCCCTAGCATCACACAGGGTCAGTTCTACTCTGTCCTGTAGGGTCCTTCTGAGTTGGAAATTGACTTGAAGGCAGTACGTTTTGAGGGGCACAAAGAACCTTGGCTTGGGGCCACACAGCCAGGGAAACAAGGCAAGGCTGTTCAGAGAGAGAGGTATGGGTGTGAGATTTTACTTCACAGCCACAATTTATTGAGCACTGAATATTTTTTAGGTGTTCTTTTTCAGCACTTGGGTTTGTATTGTCTTCTCCTATCGTCCTATCAGCCTCGTGAGTAAACATTCTATTTCTCCCACTTAGCAGATGAGTAAACACAGGTCCCCAGCTACAGGGGGTTTCAGAAAAAGCTGTGGAGAGATGAAATGGAAAGATAACGGAGCTTTCCTGTGAACGTATGGATGCCCCCTGCCATTAGGCAAATTGTTTACAGTCACAAATGTAGTGATTAGAGATGCTGGGACTCAATTATTATCTCGGTCCAGACCAAGATGTGCATTGCGCTGCACCCATGTGAATAAAGCATCTCTGCACGGATGTTGGAAGGAGCCCAGGTGGTGCCAAGGGCTGGCCATCAGGCTCCTAAAGCTCAGCGATTCAACCCCATGAGCCACTTCGTAGGAGAAAGATGAGGCAGTCTGTTGATTCAATGGCAGTGAGATCTGTAGTTGGTTCTCTTGACTGTATCTTTTCATGAACGTTCCCCAATGGATATTACTAGGAATGCGAGAAAATGGGTTTCATGTTTTACTCACGAGGAGGAAAATATATGGAAATCTTTTCCTCCTTTTGAAATGCATTCTCTGTCCTTACTAGTGATCATGCTGTTCTGGGGAATTTTCAACCAATTGAAATGCTGCCTGGAAAACAAAGCATGGTGTTGCTATTGCTACTCTTCTCCCAACCAAAATAAGTATCCACTCCCTATCACCAATGAGTCACGACGCCCTCCACCAATATTCGATGAACGAATTGCACACGTACACACACACACTCACACGTGCCATTCAGGGTATTTACTCATTGATTGTCAGGAATTAGGGAGAGGGCATTGAGAGGATTTCCCAGACCCATTTTTCTGAGTACCCAGGCGACATCCTGCAGTTACATCTGACATGATAGCAAGCAGCCCAGTCTTGTTCTGCATGGCCAGTGCAGGTATTTCAAGTAACTATGATGACCAGGGCACTTTTTGCCCCATTAAAAATGGAAGCACATCTTTCAAGAATTTCAAAACATCAGGAAGAGAAGTGCCGCGTCCCACTTTGCAACTTCAGTCTGTTTTCTGTGTAGTATTTCTCTCAGCAGGCTCAGCCGGTCCTGCAAGAATAGAAAACTGGCAATGGTGTGGTGATTCAATGGCATGATGATTAAAACACCCAACTCAACCATGAGCTACAGGCATGCTGGTTCTGAGTCAGTACCACTTCTTGCAGGAAGGGCCCTACCCAATGGTTTAGCGCCAGTTTAAACAGCTTCTAAGTTCCTTGCTTGGAAACATGCTGAAACTTTGTGCAGAATGTTTGTTCTCAAAGGAAAGCTTTGCTTTCTAACGATTTCTCTTCACTTGCTAAGCCCACTCTAGATAGACTTCCTGAAGGTCTTTTAACGTTCATCGCTATCACTGGAAAACGACAAGCAAAAAACCAAACACCTCTTATTCCTGGTCCTTTTGGCTTCTGTGTTTGGAAGGTGTTTGTAGAAAGTGGTGATGTTCCTCCTTATTGCTAATTTGTGCAGAGGGAACAATTTTAAGAGACGATTTTTTTTTTTTTTTTAATCATAACAAAAATTACAGCCTAGAAAACCCCATGGGGTCATTACATTACGTTCCACTCTGTGGGTGTGCAGTTCTGTGGGGTTTGAAAGATGCAGCGTCATGCATCTAGCTTCACGGCATCACACGGAATCATTTTGCTGCCCTAAAAAAGCCCCCTGGGAGCCAAAAAGGTTTTGATGAACAAAATCAGGCTCGTAGGTGGCATTAGAATGAGCCATGAATCAACAGGAGGCTGAGATGGAAGGTTTCATGAGCCTAGCCACCACCTGGGTCGATCCAGCTTGGCTGATTTATCTAAAGATTGCAGAAGGAAGTTGGCCCGGCATGATGAGCAACAGCCTGTGACGATGGCAGAAGGGCAAGCTTCTGAGGTCTTGTCAAAGGTCAGACCATTTGAATCACAGTTGCAGTGAAGAGGTGGGATGAGCAAAGCTCACCTGAGAATGCTTGGAAATTCAGCTCTGCTCCAAATTCAGCTCTGGAGGTGTCCTGCACATCTCTTGGTCTGGAGAGATGTGGAGGCTCATCTCACCTGAGCCAGATGGACCCCATCAGTCTCGTGATTTTGCAATTAAAATCACGACCACCCTGTGTGGTACAGTCTTGGACACTCGGGCATGAACACAGCCCTAGTTTCTCATGCCTAGCTGCCCCAGACCAGCACAGGCTGTCACAAGTATTCCTCTCAAAATGATTTTCTCACCTCAGTGCCTCTGGGCGTCAGGTTAACCAGGATCTTAGACCTTCAGTGAGACAGTGCAACTGACACAGACATGAAATTGAGTGCTATTCTGAGTTCTATTATCCCAGGTGGCAATTTATTGAGTTAAGTAAGATTCTAATTCAATTATGTATCAACATGGGAAAATATTGACTTTCCTTCTTTTCCTGTTGGAAAGTTAAGGAGTCTGAAATGTTAATATTTGGGGGGAGTTAAGCAGCTTCCCTGACCAGTATCTTGCAACAATGGCTGGAGAAGACAGAAACACTATCTCAGACAAATGGTTGGATTAATAGCGACTGTTGAAGTAGATACCTTGGAGAAGTATTTGTGAAATGGGGCGGTCGGCTCCAGAAAGGAGAAATCCCTCACTTCTCTTCTTCTGAAATGGTTTAACATAAATAAATGGCAATGAAATTGCCTAGTTGTTAACATTACTTTATAAGGAAATCAGATTTTATCTTATTGCTTTTGGCTGCCGTTGAATTGACCCCTGCCTCAAGGCACAAGGAAATACTGCCTTGTCCTGTGCCAGTCACATGCTTTATTGTGGACCAGACTGTTGTCATCCAAAGGTTCTCATTACTGATTTTTGGCAGTAGATCTGCAGGCCTTTAATCTTAGTCCATCCTCGTCTGGAAGATCGCTGAAACCCGTTCAGCATAAAACCAACCCACAAGTCTTCACTGGTGGTTGAGCATGAGGTGTATCCACTAGGATTCAAACCTGGGCCTCAAGCATGGGAAGTGAGAATTCTACCGCTGAAGCATCCTTGTCTTATTATCCTCTCCGGTACACGCTGTTCTCAGTCTCAGTGGTTTCCTGGACCAAGCATCTTCCCATTTTATGTGGTCTTCTCTGTCTGGAATGATTCCCCTTTGAGATCATACCCAATCCTTAAACATGAACTGCGACTCTGTTTCTAGGCTGAAGTTTCCCTAATCCGTTGTATCTGCAAACATGATGCTTCTATATCTAATGAGCATTATTGAGACTCCTTGACCAAACCATGAACGCCATGAGGCCAGGATGGCATCGTCTTGCTCACTCCCTTTGTCCAGACCTTAGCATCTACACAAGGTACTTGGAAACCTCTTCTTGACTTGAACAAGGCTGGAAGCCTTTATCCCTTTATCCCTCTAGCCCCAAACACAGGGCTTTCTCATTACATTTCCAAGGAGCTTTCGATATAGAAGTAAGAAGATCTTTCATCGCTAGAAACCTCTCATTTGGGGCAAACCCTATGTGTGCCCATTGGCAAAAATCACTCTTGAGTTCCAAGTTTAGCCTCTGAGATGTGGATTGAGATATGGGTAAGATCCTGAGATGTGGATGAGATAGGGGTAAGTTCACGAAGTCCATCAATGGCTTTATATCCATTTCTTCATGATTTAGATTTCCAGGTGTCTTTCCCCCCAATAGTTTTATTTAATTAAAATTTACATCTACATTTCCATAGTTCATAGCCCAGACGAGTTGTATGTACACCATCACAATCAGTTCCAGTGTACCCTCCCTCCCACATTCATCATTTGTTTCAGTTCCCCTCAACCTCCTTTTTCCAACAAGCCATTACATCAATTATTGTCTCTATCCATCCGCCCCTTCTGTGCTTCATATGCTGAGAAACATACCCAAGGATCCCCCCCTCAAAAAAAAAAAAAAGAATGAAAGAAAAGACCACTGGCAATATTCAAATAAGCCAAAGAGGAAATCTCTGTTTAAAAACAAGCGAGAACTATTTAAACCTAGAACAAATCCAGAACGGGTCAAGAGGGAGATCTGCTGGCCAGGTCCCCTATTCTACCACAGTTCCATCCACCCAAGTCGTTTCCTATCATCTGTCTCATAGTAAGGTTATTCACATTCCCTCACTTTGGTCAGGGGGTGTCTGCCAGAGGCTGGATATCCGCCTAGGTATCTGGCCGAGGGCTTTGGGGCTCCCACCGTCCAGTTGCATTTCTCGGTGATATCGTCCCTTCTCCTCACCCACTCATGCAAGATGTAGCAGGTTTTGACCTCCTTGAGAGCATTTTACCAAATCCCCTGAGGTTGCCCTGCCTGTCGCTGGGGAGCACAGTGGTTGGCAGAGCGTCGATGCTTAAAGAGGTTACTCTGAAAGGAAGAAAGAAAAATTGGAAAGGGGGCTCTTCCTAAGGAAAACCCCGCATTTCCTTCACCCTCCCCTCGTGGGCGTGGATCCCCAATAACTTCATTGCTATGCTTCACGCTTGACATGAACGGGCGAGGTGACGCCCCTAACCCTCCTGTTCTCTTGATAGGGCTGTCCTGGGGTGACGCCCGTCACAGAAATGTAGAGCGAGAAGGATAGACACAGAAAAGGCAAGGCTTAGTGTAACCGGTGAGGCCAGATTTAGGGCATGTCCCGTGTGGGGGCCAAGAGGTCCCGTGGGTGCTCCTGAGATCTGCGATGCAGAAAGGTGAGTGGCTAGTGACGGTGGTAGCTGGGCGGTTCCTAGCCCCCGTTGCCTGTAGTCACCCCAAGTTTCCTGGGGGAAGGGAAGCGGGAACAACTGCAGGATGACAGAGGACCTTTGAAGCCTCTCCACTGACCCTGAAATTGAACTCTCCTTCCCCCCTGACAATACTCCTCAACGACACAGAAATGGAGGGCTGCTGCATTCCTGGGCCCTGTCAGTGAGGGGCCTTTAATCTGTTTTAGCATGAAAAATTCATTAAGAACGTCCTATTTTTTCATCAGTGAAATCCTCAAATTTTAAATTAAATCCATAGGTCTGGTTTAGCAACCGCCGTGCAAGATGGAGGAAGCAAGCTGGGGCCAATCAACTAATGGCTTTCAACCACCTCATTCCGGGGGGATTCCCCCCCACTGCCATGCCGACGCTGCCGACGTACCAGCTGTCGGAGACCTCCTACCAGCCCACGTCTATTCCACAAGGTACAGCGGAAGGGAGCCAGGGAGGTGACAATGGGCACGCCCTGCCCCTTTAGATCGAAACCTCCCGAGCGGCCGACCGACGCCCGCCGAGACCACGGGCCTGTCCTGGACGGACCTGCCGCCTCTCAGAGCCATCGCTGACTCTGTGACCTAGCCGAGCCTCTGCGGAGCAATGCGGCCGTCGTCATTCTTGTGCACGACTTGAAAGCAAGCAAGGCAAGCAGCGTTTCTGCACACTCACCTGCGCCTTGCTTTGCTTTCATTTCCACCCAAATCAATGGAAGTTCTCAGACTCGGGCTGTCCGTGACAGTCAAAGAGAACCTTCCCTTGGGTCCACTGGCCAGCACACAGAGGGGACTGGGCGGACGGGACGTTACAAAGCCAGATCCCGTGGGCTCACGAACGATCGAACTCCAGGTATTGGAGCCAGGCGCTGACCATGCCTGTCGAAGCTCTTTGCCCGGGCATTCGCTAAGAGAGTTGAGACTTGGCATTGCTTATGTGGGTTCGAGTCACCCTGACAGCCATTAGGCCTGCTCGTGTGATGGCTGCATCCAGGTTCAGGTGGGCTGGACAGGGCATGATAGAAACCGCAGCGTCGTGTATTCGTGCGGGGGTCGGCGAGGGGATGTGGTTGGGGATTGGCGTTTGGGCCGAGCACCGCTGGGCTGGGCTTGCCTTAGACCAGGCGCCACCGAGGGCTGGTTGATGGTGCGCTTGCGCGCCGAGTTTTCTTGCGGGCCTCCCAGGACCGCCCTGGCTGACCATCTCCTTCCTTTCAGCCGTGTCGGACCCCAGCAGCACCGTCCACCGACCTCAGCCACTTCCTCCGAGCACTGTTCACCAAAGCACTCTTCCGTCCAACCCGGAGGGCAGCTCGGCCTACTGCCTCCCCAGCACCAGGCATGGATTTTCCAGCTATCCAGACAGCTTTGTACCTCTGTCTGGGCCCTCCAACCCCATGAACCCCGCCATTGGCAATGGCCTTTCACCTCAGGTCAGTCCCGTGTTTCCAGACAGACGATTTGCTGTATACCAGAACCCAACACTCAATTCCCCGAGGCGCTCGGATAATGAATTGCCAAATTTAAACCATAATGTATTCTTTATACAAGCCACATGATTTCAGTTTTCTAGTTTCCTTTCTCTCCACCCTTCCTACTGGCTGCCTCCAAAGTCATAGTTTAGGCTTAAAAGCTGAGGGAATTTACAAAAAAAAAAGGAGGGGGGTGGACCATGGGGCCTTTGTGTTTATGCGCCGTTGTCAAGGCGTTGATCATGTGTTGTTTTCTCCACTCCGAGATCTGGGCTCTGGTTAGGAATCTCACAGGCGTGGTTATGTGGTTGTTTTTCATTTTGTCTTTTAATGATGTTTGGTCAGCTGAGGGGCTTGTGAGCAGAAGACCCTGGTCACAAAACACCAAAGATTCGACAAAACGCTCAAGAGAGCGGGAACCAGTGAGTGGCGTGCGGGGGCCCTTGTCCCAGCCGCTAGCTGCCAAGCGCAGGAATAAATGAGTTATAAACGCGTAAATTAGGAGAAGTGCTGCTCTTGGGGACTATGGAAAAATATTTGAATGTCGTAATTGTTTGTTTAATTTGCATTGGGCTATGAGCTCTTTTCCTCGGGAGAGCGTATTAATAAATGGCCTTGATTGCGTGTCAGAGGGCTGGTGAAATGTCCTACATGTGGCATCTGTCGCAGGGTGACATTATTAGCAGTTGTTTAAATACAGAGCCCTTGATTTTATTAGGGAGCCCATGCCCAGGTGGTGAGGAAGGCTGCCTGCGGAATTTGGAGAAATGTCACAAAGGGGTTGCAATCTATAATTACAATCAGGAGTGTCTTCGGGGCCCAGAGTGAGAGTTTTAACAGCTTTATCTTTCTCCAGCCCCTTCTCCCCTCGTGGTGGCTGGAAAAACAGAGAGCCGCTCAGGATGACACAGATGAAAAGTGAAAAGACAATTATACTCAATTACACACTAATCACCGACTATCACCGCCGCCTAAACACCAAGAGGGCATTCTAATAGGCAGAAAATGAGATTTTAATGGCACAAAGGGTGGCCAAAAAACCGCACTCTTGTATCTTTGCCTCCTCTGTCTTCTTCCACTCGGGGTCTGCCTCTCCGGAGTGGGGTTCGGAGGCTCTGCACCACGGTGATAACTCCGAGAAGCTGACAAGTTCAAAGCCTGTTGGAGTTGAAAAGGCTGGCTAGCCAAGGCAATGAAATAAACATTTCTGCCTCAAGGCAAACGTTCAGAAACTCCCCTTCCTATTTTTTGCCCCCACTCTCCCCCGTAACAGTAAATGTAATTAAGTCTCCTAGGTTCTCGGAGCACATCCAAGGATGAAAAACTAAATATAAAAAAAGAAGTGGCTTTCAACCTCACTTGAGAAAAATCACAACGTGAAAACTGAACGTTCTCCCTCCCGGACTTTCACGCCCGCGGAGTTCCACAGTGCTGGCATTTGCGGGCATGATTTTGCGTGAAGATGGGGAGCTGAGATGGTCTCAGTGCATCTCGAAAGGCTCGGCTTCATGGCGTATAAGCCGCCGTCACGCGTTGGAAGTAACATCAGAAGGCGCTATCGCAGCGGTGTTGAATAAGTTCGCTTAGGCCGAGGGGAAGGCATTTTCAATGTCCATGGTTTGGTTGAAAGTTTTAATAGAACACCCTGCCCCTGTTTCTGTGAAGTAGAGAACTGGGGTTTCTTTGGCCTTCCTTAGGGCCTTACAATACTTCCTCCTAATAAAAATGGCAATACCAGCCGGCATTAGGTAGGTACATGGGCCAGTGTCTTGTATAATATGTAGAGAATAAGAAGTGTATTTTATTGGGTTGCGTAAGTATTCTGTACATGGAATGGGCTAGATCTTAATCTTGAAACTGTTAATCCTTGATTCCAGGAGCCTGGCTGGGATTTCAGGGTTGGCGGTAGGGTGGGAATCATTCCAATCTCGGGCAATGGAAAATTCCACAGGTGATTTTCCCTGTTTACTATTGCCCTGCCATGCTAGGCTGGTGCCTTGCCACACGGCTGCTAGCCAGCACCTTCTGTCTTTCTACCATGCCTGTCTGCCTCCAGTCAGCCCAAGAAATGCGTGTTTTCTTCTCAGAGCATCCCCAGTGAGTTAGGAAAGAACACAGACTGCGAGGTTTTGCCCAATTTCCTCAGGCACAGCTGGAAAACGAAAGGCAACAGGTCAGTCAGTGTCTTGCCAACCAGATCGACACAACAGTGGAGTAGGAGCCAGGGGGTGGGGGTGGGTGGATGTTGGGCCCCCCCCTCTGCTGCTGCCTTTGAGATTGTTCCCTTCTGAGTAATGCCTCTATCGAAACCACAGGGACCTCCTCTCGCTTAGCTGGTGTTCTTAAAGCGAACGTCCAGAGAAGTGGGAAGAAATGAGTTCGTGTCCAACAGCATGGTTCAGCTATGAGGACAGAAGTAGTGCCAGAGTGCCCCTTTGAGTCAAGGATGGCCAGGCTTGGTGTCACGTGCTTTGGGCATGTTGTCAGGAGAGACCAGTGTCCGGAAAAGGACATCACGCTCCGTAAAGTGCAGGGGCAGCGAACAAGGGGAAGGCCCTTGACAACATGGACTGATACAGGGGCTGCCACCATGGGCTCACCCGTAAGGCCAGCTGGGAGGATGGCAGTCACAGGGCTGGGACGTCATTCGTTCTGTGGTACGTAGGGTCACCAGGAGTTAGAACCCACCTGGTGGCACCTAGCAGCAAGGAAAACCGACCGTCTAGTCGCTGAGAAGGGCTTCTTATGGATGGATGGCATCACTAAGTGCCAAAAAGGGAACGGAACTTAAGATTAGGATTCCCTGGGTGCACCAGAAATTAAAGTCAGCAGGTCCAGGCCACTCAAAGGCACCTTGAAAGAAAGTCCTACCTATTGACATCCAACAGCCCACGGCCTTTGTTCTATTCTGATGCCCGTGGGGTATCAACTTGGCAGCAACTCTTTTGTTTCTTCTTCTTATTCCTTTCCCATAAATCTTAAGGTGACTATTTCTTCTCTTCTTTTTTTTACTTCCACGTCTACCTCCTCTCCCTCTATCCAGCCCTCTAACATGCAGAGGTGTCACCTGAGACCCAAAGGGACAGTGGCCCGAAGGTCACGGAGCTGATGAGTGGAAGGATTGGGACTAGATCCTGGGGCCTCGGCTCCTAGCCACGTCATCCATCTAGCACATCGAAGAAGAACCGGGTTCAGGGGGGAAGCAACAACAGAGCCAGGAAGTTTTCCTTATATTTAAAAATGATTTAATACTCACTTTCTAAACTTTGGGGCCAAGGTTAATTTACACGCTTTTTGCTAAGCCGAAGGAGCCCTGGACGGAGCCCTGGCAGCATAGTGGGTTATATGTTAGGCTGGTAACCTCAGCGTCAGCAGTTTGAAACCACTCCTTGCTCTGTCTGGGCTGGGAGTGGATGGACAGGGGAAGATGAAGCTTTCCACGCCCATAAAGATTTACCGTTCAGACACCCACAGGGACCCTTCTACTCTGTCCTAGAGGGTGGCTAAAGGTCAGACTTGATCGCCGTGAGGTCTTTGAAGGAGCCCAGGTGGTGGTGTCAGGTAAGCAGTGGCCTGCTAACATCAAGTTCGGCAGTTCGATCCCACAATCTGCTTCTTGGGAGAAGGACTAAGGTTGTTTGCCCCCATCAAGATTTACCGCCTCAGATACCCACAGGGGCAAGTCCACTCTTTCCAACACTCTGAGTTGGAAAAGGCTAGGTGGCAGTGAGTTTTTGTCTTTGTTTGCTTACTGGCCATTAAGGAACTTTGCTGGCACAACAGATTCATCAGTGAACTCCCAACCCCAAAGTGGGTTTGAACCCACCAGCTACCCCACGGGGCAAGCACTGGCAACATGTTTGCATATTGCTTCTTAACACTTTCTGGGGCGTTCTGTTTATTTCAGAACATGGTGGAGATGGCTGTTTATCTAATTGTATCTTGCCCTTTCTTTACCTTCACCTTTCCACATCGACCTTTCCTCATTGTTCATTTTAGACGGAATAAAATCTAAAGTGTCTTGAGATGCGTTATCTTTTTTTTGCCAACACTTCTGTCAGTTTTTATTGTGGATGCCTTTGGTGGAAGCTACATAACACGTTAACAAAGTGCTTTTCGCGCGATGTGTTTCCTCCTGTCATTGAATTTGACGGGTTGCTTGCCTTTCAAATGTAGAAGCCACGAGCTGTCAAGGATACGGACTGCCGTCGAATGACACTGCTTGATGTTGTTGCTGTTGTCAAGGAACGACTAGATAGCATCAGAGTAGGTGGGCTGTTGTCTGCAGACTTTAGTTGGTTTTTGTCTGAGGTCTAGAACATGCCTTCTTCCTCCAGCCCCGATCCTTTTAAGGCTCAGGATCAGACCACAAGCCAAATGCTTTCTTAGCTGCTCCGCCCTCCTCTTGGGGATGGTCTCCGCTCTGTGAATAATTACAGAAGTCTACCCCTGCCCAGCAGGTCAGATTCGTGGACTCATGGATTGACACGCACCACGTTAGAACCGGACATTTGAAATGTCAGGATAATGACCCAAACCTTCAGACGTTTTGGTCTTCTTTGTCTTCACGTGGCCCAAAGGGTCGATGCACTACTTTGCCATTGGCAAGTGACCGCATCACCACTCTCTCTTGGGCCTGAACCCTGTTTGACTGAGGGGAAGATCGAAGTTGGTCAGTGGTTGAGCTAAGGAGCAAATCACTCTCTCTTCCAGGAGTCCTTGATCCCGTGAGGAACACAAATGATACGTGTGACCTGCAGGTCCTGAGCTTTCCCGGGGCCCTGGCATGGCTATCCACCTGGTTTTCCTGAGGCGTGTCGGGCGGCTTCTCAAGTGAGGTCCTGGTTTTCACATTCCCTCCAGGGCTGGTTCTTTGAGGGAACTGGAGGCCAGATTCCCAGTGAAGCGCGAGAGGGTGGCAGACGGGGCACCCTGCATTGTCTACTGTCTCTGAGGAGCTC